CGCTGCCCGGGCATGGGTGCTAACGCGGTCGAGTACGGTATGTATATATGCTGACAATCTTGACGTTCAAGTATCTGTTTTGTAATAATTAGAAAATCCAAACATAGCCTGTATCAACATCACATTTTTTTCGAATGATGTTATTCTGTCATAATTTAATCATTGTTCTCCATTTTCCAGTGGATCGGATATTGAGAATTGGCATTCCATTATGAGGCATGGTCTTATTAACGCCTCTGGTACCAAGCACCAGGTGAGTAATCAGACCCAGTTGCTGTTGACAAAACCTATTGCCAACACAATTTTCTAAGGCTGTTGGTTATTCAGGCCAAGTGAATTACAACACATACAAATTAAATAAAATGTTTTTGACCCATGTATACTTTGATATGCATAGTATTTCTCTTCCTTCAGACATCATGCGTCTCCAGCTACATGCATGTGCAAATTTTTAGATACTTTGGGAGATAATTTTAGCTTTACAGGGGGTTCATTATTGTTGCTGATGACTTTTATAAAGCACAACAAATTGGAGAAAAGTCTATTGTGATCTAAACAATTTTACCCTCATTGGCCCATAACCTGAATAATTTAAAACCAACGCATTCACATTGTCATACAGGCCATTGTAGGCCATTTATGTGATGCCAATCTTATTATTAAACACTTTGCTTGTTTTTCAAACTTTTTTTCTTTTTGAATACAGCATTGTATTCCTATCCATGGTACGGCGCCTTGATGCTAAATAATGGGATTCTTTAGTGGAAATAATTTACAGTCATAAAATTAACTTGTATTGGCAATGCTACAACACACCTGTCAAATTTTGTGTGGGTAAACTCTTATTTTAACTCTGCCAAACATAAATGTATTATGAATACCTGTATGACCTTGGTGTGTTTTTGCATATAACTAAATGCATTTCTTCATTTTTTTTCTGCTTAATTTGTAGCTGCATGGATGTGCTTATGGTAAAGGTATTTATCTCAGTCCTAATGCCAGTGTGTCGTTTGGTTACTCCGGCATGGGTCATGGATATCATCGACCAATCGGTGGTGTTGGTAGGAAAGCACCGCCTAATGCAGCCACCCAACCAAAGGTATGATGAATGTGTATAAATGTAGGAAGTTTATTAATAAATATTAATCTTTATATCATATTTTTGAACTAATTTCAATTAATTTTATGAGTTTCAATCATAATTTCTCTCAAGCTAAACTTAGTTTTATTTTTTGAATTTTTTATGTATTTTTCTATAATTTTGGATCAAATGGACATAATTTCCTACAGGTTTTGATCAAAAATTTGAAAAATATGTGAAAAATTGTTGTGGGATTTATTACTGTAGAATACTTTATTTTCGCTTGAAATCCAGCGAATGTACCTTTTTCCTATACATGTATTTTACATTAAACTTGTCAAAAATCAGTGAAAATGAATTCCACACAAAACATTCAAAAAGTCTTTAATTCCAGTTATAATAAAGTATTTTACAATATGTGAATAGTGATAAAAGTTAATTTTGGTGTTCAATATTTTGAATGATTTATGAAAGAAAATTCTTCAAATGTTAATACAGTAGAACACTGCAGGCATTTTATAGGTCACTACAAGTTATTAAACCTTGTTCGTACAAAATCCAAAAACAGGGAATGATATTTTGATTTCTGTGATTCTATCAAAATCACACATGTATTCATTTTTTGGTGATTCGAGATGGCTGAATGGTGACTGAATTTAGTGCTAAAAATGTATCAAAATCAAACATTTCTATCATCCAGAAACCAGATCTTGTATTGAACAATTATGGCTGTCTGGTGGCCATTTTGTTCAAATGTTGCATAGCAATATCTCAGATCATATTCAAACCTCACACAGCACACATCTTAGAATATATTCTTCTGTTCAGCTGATTAACTTCACTGATAAAGATAATTAGCGCTATTTCAAACTTTGTTTTAACAAATAAATAACATTCGTTTAGTCATTTGTTGGGATAATGATATCATCATCAATATTTCATCTTCTATCTCTTTTCCTTACAGACGAAAGGAAAGAGTACAAGATTCCTACAGAGCAAAAAC